CGCGACGGGCGCGACGGGCCGAAAGGGCGGCGCGAAGGGCCGTAGGGGCGGCGCGACTCGGGCCGGAGCAAAACGCGCTCCGGGCAGGAAAAAAAAAATAATTTCGTGGTGGTGGGCCCTAGGAATCGTTCCCACTAGGGAACCTGCTCGATACCATGAGAAGAAACGAGGAATGAATGAACTATGAATGAATTGGGTACAAGTACTAACCCTAATTCGGTTGTACCCCTTATGGGCTACCCCACTATAGCCTACACAATATGCAAGAGCTATAATGTTCTGACAGGGCCAGCATAGGAACTAAATTTGAGTCGCGAAAAAATGTATCCAATGTATGTAATGGCGACAAGAAAAGGCTGCCAAGGCTCTAAGCAACGCATGATCCCTACAAAATCAATATATATATATATATATGGTTGTCGTAAAATTGTTCATAATAAAAACTAACATATTAACGCATTCATTTCGTATAAGATAATAATCATTTTTCTCATATCAGTCTAGTTTGAAAATTGGTTCAGTAAGCCAACATGCTGCTTGAATATACAAATCCTGGCACAAATTCTTATATGTCAATAAAACAGAACACAAATGTACTTTACGATGATGATTTGTCAATTATCAGTGTGTGTTTTTTGTGATAAATTGCATTTCCATTAAAATGGTTAAACAAAATATACGTAATAGAGGTGTCAAGAATATCCATTCTTACGCAAATGGTTGAATTATTTGTACATGACCTAATCCCATTGCATTGAGTATCTTCATATATACTGTAGTAAACATCACGCAAGTCTAAACAATACCGTGCATCCGACAAACGTAAGTGGGAAAATATGAATGAACCATATGTTGTTGACTGAGAACCAAATATCTCATTACCGATTGCGTTATTTTGAACAAACAAATAAACTAGGAGATAATGGCGACATTTAGGTTGGACCATTGTTTTTTAAGCACCCATGTTGCTAAGTCCAAACATATTGGTGAACATTCTAAAAAAAAACTACAAACTTGATTTAATGCATATGCCAAAGTGCAAACTGGATCGTTTAGTGTCTCCAATTGTTAGGGGACAATCCAGTATGCAATTTGCGACCAGAACATGGAAATATTTGGCCTAGTTCTGTGAACATCTCGCATTGTTTGATTAAAAGGCTAGAAAAAAATATCTCACATTGATTTGCAGCATCGCATCGCTTTGTATAGGGTTTTATTGCTCGAAAGATTTGGGATGCGCTGAACTTGTGTAGGCAAACCTTCCATTAAAGTGGGAAACAGGTTGGGGTTTGGGGAAAAAAAAATCCCCGGGTAAAGGGAAAGCCGCTGGCAAAATGGAGGCAACTGACTAGAAAAAAAATGATGCCCTTGCTCGTCCGTCCATGTTCAAATTTCATATGATTCCCTGAACGCCCGTGTCGGCCCCAAAACTGTCACCACTTTTACGTGATTGGTCGAAGGTTTTGAGTGGGTTTTTTACGCAATTGGTTCTCGATTTTCCCACCGAACCTCCTTTTGGGGTTTTCCGAACCTACAATATTTTAGTTGACTTAGTTGTGTAATTCGGGGTGTGGCCTTTAAGCTGCTTGGGTTTCTCAGGTCCGATCGGGTCTAACCGGACCAAGGGCCTGCCGAACAGGGTCTACAGACTTTCCAAATCCACCTCACCGCAAATTCGAGCCTACCGCGCGGAATCCGGACTAGTTGGACCAAGTCAGACCTCCCACGAATCACCACAAGGAAAGCACCACCGAATAGCTACGAGAGAAAACAACGGTAGCCCCAACGTGGCCGAGGTGGATTCATTTTGTTGGAGGGAAAGTTTGCCGAACCTCTGTTTACTGGTCTGGTCTGGTCTAGCAGCCAAGACCCAAATTTAGAGGGAGTTCCTGGCGATGGCCTGGACACCATCCGCTCCAATGACTTGTAAAGGTAACCTTGTGCCGTTGGCAACACGTGCCAATCTCAGTTCTCATCGTCGCACCATCTGACCCGCCAAGTGTACATCTGCACCCGCGCACCAATGAAAATCGCGCGCGAACAAACGTCTGCGACCTGTTCGACTTGAACAAGCCAGGGGGCGCACCCTCGAAATTTTTCCTTTGCTGTATCAACAAACCTCGCGCGCATGGGGTACGCAGTCCCAAATTCCCTACCATCACAAACCGGCCAATATCATTGATACTCAAAGTATGCCAGAGAAAGTTTGCTTCGGTACTCAACCTCGATTTCTGATCGCTGATTGGTTCTCGCTTTTCAATCACACTTTCTCGCTAATAAATCTCCGAAATGTGACAGAAACAAAACGCGATTACCTAAGTTAAATATGAACAATTGTGTCGTGGTGTGACCCAAGAAATAAAAATTGTATCAAGCGCAAATTGCGTTAAAAAAACCATTAGGAGAAGGATGCAGACTGAGAATAATTCAACGGAATGGGGTCGATCGCACCTTCAACCCTCGGTCGACCATGTACCTGCTGACCTAGAACAGAAGAAAACTAAAACCACATTGAATGGCATGTTATGTAACGGAGGCATCAAATGTAAATGTCATGCGATAAGGTGTTTAAGGTTGATGCCATCCGGACTGGATGCCTTTCCGCATGGAGTTTAATTTTAATTGCATGCGGGCAGCAAGCTCTGCTGGACGGTGTCATTTGTTGATTGAGATACTCAAAGCGGAAGGCATAGTTCTAAACACTTGGCGACTCATTTAAGGTTGATATCCAAGCGTTTAAGTTACTTTCCTGTTTTGCTGGGAACGTGCGGTTGAGGTGGTGGTGGCGACTTTGTTTTAGAATTGTGCTTAAAACAAGATGAAACAGAAAATGTAGTTACTACACCGAGAAAATGTCGGTTGATTACGTTCGCAAACCGCGCCTGGCATAATTTGAGTATCAATGATATTGGCCGATCACAAACACCCGCTACTTCAATGCAACCTAGGTTCGGAAGACAGCGGATTTATGGTTCGGAACAATCGCGAAGGCAACTGTTGACGAAGCTCGCCTGCAAAACTCACTGCTAACAGTTTTGCAATAAGTGAGAGTGGTGGGAATGCCTCGCGCGGAATGCGCTGGTTATGAAGGACCACGTCCCAACCTGGCGCTAGAAATCGTGGCAGGGTTCTAAAAGGCGACAGAAACAGGCTTAGCGACACTAAATACCATGGGAGGAGGCAACAGGGTGCGCAATGGAATGAGAGGTGACGCAATACGGTATTGCAGAGGATTGCCCCATGGAATTGGCCGAAGAGAGGCCGTAGCACAGCCGACGGAGTGTGTGCGGCGCGGGGTGATAGGAGGAATTGCGGAATGAAGTTTGAACGGGAGGCGCGGGACGAGAGGAAGAAATGCGGTACGAGTGTGTGAGGCGCAGGATGAGAGGGGGAAATGCGGAATGGGTGTCTGGCGTGCGGGATGCGAGAGGCGGAAGGGGTTTGTGCGGCGCGGGATGCGAGAGGAAACCGCGGAATAGGTGTTTGGGGCGTGGTATGAGAGGAGGAGCCGCGTAAAGGGTGTGTGGTGAGAGGGATGAAGGGAGGAAACGCGGAATGGGTGTGTGGGGCGCGGGATGAGAGGAGGAAACGCCATGTTTGCTGAAGTATTTTCCCTGCTTGCGCTCAGATTGCCCGTCATTTTTTCCTCTACTTTGCCTTTCATTCCCAAGCTTACCACCACTTTCCTCTCTTTAAGTATCGCCTTACTCGCTTCACTTACCCCCCTTCTCGCTTTAGTTACCCCCCTGCTCCGTTCAGTTACCCCCCTGCTGCCTTCTCCTGGAAACCCCCTGCTCCCTGCAGGTTCCCCCCGCTCGCTTAAGTCTCCCCCCTGCTCTCTTCACTTTCCCCCCTGCTCCCCACAATTTCCACCCTGCTGCCTTCTCCTGGAACCCCCCTCTCCCCACCTGTTCCCCCCTGTTCCTTTCAGGGTTCCCCCCTGCTCCCTGCAGTTTCACCCCTGCTCCCTACAGTTACCCCCCTGCTCCCTTCAGTTACCCCCCTGCTCCCTGCGAGGAAGCTGCAAGGAACCTTCGTCCCAGCTTGCTGAGGTCTTCGTCATCCATTGTATCGGAGCGGCTTAAAAGGAGAAACGGGTGGTCTCACACATTATTGGTGCGCGGGTGGGATTGAGGGGAGGGAAGTAAGGAGGACACGGAAAACGGCATGCACATCATGTTGAGGTGTCTCAGACGGTCCAAACCCCCCCAGGAAACCCCTGTGTTCCCTTCACACTCCTCCCCTCCCATTCTGAGTCGGCCTCACCTCTCACCTTTCCTCCATCCTCGTTGTTTGAGTCGGTTTGTGCAAGTGCATTTGCGGCGCGGATGATGCTGTTCATGCGGCTGCTGCTGCGCGCGTGGATGCAGCAGGGCAAGCGGCTGCTGCTGCTCTCCCCCCCCCTCTCTCCCACCCCTCACAAACAAATCTGCCGTTAGTCAGCTTGTGCACAGCCGGCCGCGCGCAGCCAGCCACACTCGCAGCCATATGCACGCGCAGTCGCCGCGCACGCAGCCGCGTGCAGCCAGCCGCACACGCAGCCGCGCACACAGCCGCTAGTCGGGAACAGGAGCGGGACGGGTGGGTTGACGGAGGCTCTAGGGGCGGAATCTACCTAGGACAAAGGCAGCCTAGGAACTAACTCAAAGGATACCATCTTAGAATGTGCAACCGGAACGTTTGTGAACTAGGTAGCATGAGATGAGATACAAGTAGGAACCTAAGGTAAGGTGTTGTACTCACTACAATGTACCGCACTGTGGCCTAGCAACCTAACACAATCATAAATATTGTTCAACACCAGTTTTCCTCACATCTTTTGCAATTCAGGTTCTGCCCTCTAAAAAAGTAGAAATTGGTTTAGAAGAAAAGAAGCACCACATGCTGTAACATTTGCATGAGTTGTTTACAGGTACTAAAGCACACTTGAAAGAGTCTAATCCAGCAAAATGAAGGTTAGTTATTCAGATATTACACACTACAATGTAGGCGAGAAAAAGCTACTTGGCGGCCTTAGCCTTCTTGGCTACACGTTTCTTCACTGGAGACTTCTTGGTGGCCGAGGACGCTTCTGCGACTGCCTTAGCCTTCTCTGGGGTCTTTGCCTTTGGTGCCTTCTTCTCCGGGGTCTTCGCCTTTGCAGCAGTCTTTTTCAATACCTTGGGCTTGGTAACCTTCGGAGCCTTCGCAGGAGAAGTCTTAGCAGCAATTGCCTTCGCCTTGGGCTTGGCAGTGACCGCTGCAGGCTTCGCCACCTTGGGCTTCGCTGGTGCCTTAGCTGCAGCCGGCTTAGCAGCCGCAGGCTTTTTCACCGCAGGCTTTTTCACCGCTGGCTTGGCAGGCTTGGCTTCTTCGCCCAGCTTGTAGCTCGCCTTCACCTTCGTCAGCTTGCCAGCCTTGGTAAGATTCTTCAGCTGGACGCTAAGAGTCTTCTTCCAATTGGCAGGAAGGTTCGGATGGTTTTGTTCAATATGTTTTGTGATGGCGTGAAGGCTGGAACCGTTTCTCTCCTTCAACGATGTGATGGCGTCGCTCACCATCTGAAACAGTGAAAACCAGATACGTCAGACACGATATCACAAGTGGAAAAATGGAGCAGACAGAAACCCTGCGAGTGGACAACGAACCTCAATATACTTCGGGTGGTCACTCTTCGTCCTGGCTTTCGCTCCTGCAGGTTTCGCCGCCTTTTCAGCCTTCGCAGCCTTCGGTTTCGCAGCTTTCGTAGCTGCTGCCCTTGCCTTGCCAGCCGCCTTAGGCTTCTCTGCCTCGGCCTTGTTATCCGGGGATGGCTCCTCCATGGTTTCCGGTGGTGCCTCGGGCGCTGCTGTCTCAGCCGGAGCAGGCTCTACTGATTCTGCAGGCGCCTCAGGCTCAACGGCCGGGGCGACTGGAGCAGGCTCCTGATTAACCTCTGTGGTAGCCAGATTGGATTTCGGAGCAGACATAAAAGACTAACGGAGCAAGTTTGGTAGGAGACTTCTGAGGTAGATGGCCACTAAAGTGAAAGAATAGTTGAAACCCCACAATGCAGTGGAAAAGAGCTGGTTATGAGAGCAACGGGAGAATGGTTGGGAGGATATGCTTGCGAGGGGCAGTTTGTGCTCAACTCCGCTCCAGTGGAGGGCTGTGGTTAAATTGGAAACACAACTTGGGAAATCGGTGTTGCGAGGAGTCACTGCATCCCGCATCCGACGGTGCCTTATCGACGGCCACGAATCTTTATGACGAGAGGTCGTAGCTTCCGTGATCTGCATAACTAGTTTCGGCAATGTCACTAAATCATACACCCACAAAAGAAATGCATATAAACTATTTTTAGGGCAATAAAAAACACTCTGTTTAAAAATCACTCCGTTTGCACTGTAAACATCAATCCCAAGGAGTTATTGTTCCTTTGTCCTCACGATGTTGCACACACTACAAATAAATTTACGGACAGGGGATGAGTATCTCGAGTTGAGTAATTTAACGTGCCAATTGTTGTTCACACCTTCTACAACTCTCAACTGATCAGTGGTAAACCATTACACGGGTGTCCTCTTCTGAGTTTCTGCACACTGTCATGCACATTGGCTTCGACTAATTTCCACTTAAAAAAAAAAAGAGGCGGGTTAGGTTAGCTGTAGTCTTCAGCTCAGCTCCTATTTTTTAGAGGGGGGGGGGAAATGGAATACACCTACAGAACCTAGGAAGAGCTGGTCTTCTAGCACCGCCACAATAGCTGAAGCAGGTGAAAGATAAGCGTCAGGCTGAAAGAAGCAGCTTGCAACCGCTGCTGGTGCATGTTACCCAGGTGTACCCGAATGATCAACCTAGCCTGGCTTCACGAGCCAACACCTGTGGGGTGAAGGGGGAAAGGCGGAAAGGGCAAGGACTGAACATTAGGGTGGCGGTGTCATGTGTCACTCCAGAGTTGCTGTTAGAGAAGAGAGACGGAAAAAGAGGGCGGAGGGGGAGGGGAGCGGGAAAGAGAGACTGGGAGTGCGTGTGAAATTAGACCAGCAGTTAACCAGCATGTGAATGAAGAATCCAGGGGATAGATGTGAGCCAGTGACAAAAAGTGGAGGCGATTGGCAGCGGATGAGCCTTAATGAGTGCGGTGGATGGTGGGGGGAGCGGAACGTGGCACTCTCGTCATGACGGAAACCCTCCCTCCTCCCAACCCTCCGTCGCGCAGCATGAATTTACAGCCAAGGAGGCGTTGATAATGGCGGCTGGGAACAGAATCACAAGTTCAACGCTTCCTGTTTCCCAATTCAAGCTTGCACCTTCAGTTGCATTCATGGAAGGGACTCCAGGTCCTAACCATTCTACCAACTCTTAAACATATGTCCTGCCTGTGGCCAACCATACTTTGGCACAATGCTGTGCATTGGGGTGCAGAGGGGTGAGGCGGGGTTACGGTGGGTGCATGCGCGCACCTCGTCGGCAAACTTGATGAGGATGGTGGTGCGTGGCCGTTGCTGCCCCTCCACCTGCACGTAGTGCGCTGTCACTCGCGCCGGGAAGCCCGCATTGTCCAGCACGCCCTGTACATGTGACGGGGGTATGAGAGAGTTTGGTCCGGTGGACAGCGGTACAAAGGCAGTGAGGCCGTGAGGGGCGCAGAGCAGTGGAAGAAAGTCACTGGGTGCTGCTGATGGGAAAAAGCGATGCAAGGGGAGGCATGCGGGGGTGAGGGCATGCGGAGTGAGGGCATGGGGAGTGAGGGCATGGGGAGTGAGGGCATGGGGAGTGAGGGCGACAGGAATGAGGCACTTGTGGCAGACATGACAAGTTGAATGGATCGTGCTGTAGAGACTACTACCAGCTGCATGCATTATGACAGGGGTCACAGGGGCAGATTGGCTTGCTCCGTAGCAGGCAGCGTAGGTTGGTGTGCAGGAGCAAATGGTGCGGGGAGGGAAGGGAAGGGAAGGGGGCAACGGACCTTGACAATGCCTGCAACGAAGGCGCCACAGTTGAACGCACCCATGTCTCTAGGCACTGAGATGAACCTGATGCGCACACACACACACACGCACACAGACAAACACACGCACGCACATGCACAGGGGGGCAGGCAGGTGTGCAGTGAACAGTGATCGTGGAGGGAGAGCAAGCGGGGTGGAAGGGAGACAGTGATAGGCCAAGGATGAGAGCGAGGAGTGAGAGAAAGAGGAATGAGAATGGGGAACGCAAGAGCACGAGGGGAGTGGGAACGAGCAGGGAAGGAGCAGGGAAGGAGCAGGGAAGGAGCAGGGAAGGAGCAGGGCACCTGTTGACGAGCAGCTCTTTCTCGCTGATCATGTACTCATCCTCGTGCTCTGTGCTCTTCTCTAGTGAATCCGCCACCTGCCATGCAGTGCACCGCACACACACACACACACACACACACACACACACACACACACACACACACACACACACACACACACACACACACACACACCACCATCGGACACATTCCCACCCCCATACATGAATGCAAACACGGATGCATGCATGCAGTCTGGAGCAAACTCAATTTGCCTGATTTCATTTCATCTGCACATGCCTACCCTCGAGCTTACATCTGCATGCATGGATTGCACTCGCGTTTCTTACCGATGTTGCCCTGGGTGTTTTGAGAATTCTCAGAAACATCCTACCGATGTTGCCGTGGGCGATCCTCGCTCTTGGGGTGGAAACTGCGCCTTCATGCTCCTGCCTGCTGGACTGCCATGTTGCCAGCGCACGGGTTCTTAACCCCGCATAACATCCACACCCCGCACTAGCTTCTTCTGATTTGTACAGCGCTCTATTTCCCACCATTGCAGAATGACAAAGCAACCACACGCTCTTCCCCACACGCTCTACCCCACACACTGTACCACACGCACTCTCACCCACACACTCTACCCCACACACTCTACCCCAAACACTCTACCCCACACACTCTACCCCACACACTCTACCCCACACACTCTACCCCACACACTCTACCCCACACACTCTCCCCCACACACTCTCCCCCACACACTCTCCCCCATGCTCCACACACCCTATCCTGCGCCCAAATCCACGCACAGTCTCCTGCAGCGCGGGCACAGTCCCTGTCATACCCCCAGGCGCGCGCACCTTGCCAAAGAGGGCCTTCCACACGGTGCTGTGCACGAACGACAGTGTTGCTTTGTGAGTCGACTCAAAACACAGTCCAGACTCCCTACCCCAACCCCACGCGCACCGCACCTTGCCAAAGAGGGCCTTCCACACGGTGCTGTGCACGAACGACAGAATTCCCAGCACCCGCGTCTCCCGCCTGTTGCCCTGCCACGGGGGAAGAGGCATGCCGCAAGGGGGAGAGAGGGGGCCCGGGAGACAGAGAAGAGGGATAGGCAAGGCTGTTGTGGGTGGGTGGGTGGGTGGGTGGGCGAGAATGCAAGCATGAATGATCATTTGGACCGATAGATGGCCAGCACAGCCCATTATCAGGCAACCCTTCCGCCTCCTCCCCTGTGCAACCCCTGTAAGCCATTCAACGATCACCCTCTCGCCAGTCACCGTGCCCACCTTTTCTCGCTGCACCAGCAGCTCTAGCATGCGCAGCCCTATGCCATACCCCAGGTCCTCCAGCCTGCAAGGGCATGTGCGTTGCGTGGGGGGCGTGGGAGGAGGAGGGGAGCGAGGCAAGGGAAATTGCAGGGAGATGAGTCGGAGGGGAAGGAAGGGGAATTGGGGCAATGGAGGAGGGAAGGAGGGCTGTTGAGGGGAGAGGGAGGGTACAAAAGTGGGTCGAGAGATTTTCAAAGAGGATGCGGAGAGGTGGAAGGGAGGGTGTGTGTTGTGTTGTTGTAGGTGGTCAAAGTGAAGGGCGAAATGAGGGGTAGGAGACGGGTGGCAGCAACGAGGGTGTGTGGTGGGTTGCAGATAGTGACCATGCGAGTGGGAAGGAAATGAAGAGAGGTCATGAGACCAAGATGCGCTGGCATAAGAAAGCAACAGACAAATGCAGGGGACACCCACAGAGGACACACACAGGGGACACACAGAGAGGGCGTGTTGCCTTGCCTCACATCGAGATGTGATGTGATGTGATGTGAGGTGATGTGAGGTGACTCACTTCCTCTCAAGCTCTGCGATGTTGTTGACCCGCGTCTGGCTGTACTGCACCATCTCCGAGAAGAGAAACGCCAGCGCACTCAGACTCACCTGCCAGCCACCCATGGAGGGCGGTGATGGCCACATGGCACGGGGTGGCATGGCATGGCATGGAATGGTATGGTATGTTATGGTATGTTATGTTATGTTATGTTATGTTATGTTATGTTATGTTATGGTATGGTATGGTATGGTATGGTATGGTATGGTATGGTATGGTATGGTATGGTATGGTATGGTATGGTATGGAGTGAGTGGCATGGGATGGGGCAACAAGCAGTGGTGGACAGAAAAAAGGAATGGCAAAGGAGGAGGGGCGGCACTACTTGAGTCAGAAAGGGTGAGCTAGCTAGAGGCAGATGGAAAAAATCGTCTGTTTAAGGACTCGAGAATGGCAGAGCAGGAGCAGCGCAAAAGGGGGCGGGCGGGTGGAAGGTGGGGCGACGGAGAGTGCCAAAAGTGGGTGGGGGAGGAGCAAGGCAGTGTGAGGTCGGGCGGGGAGAGAAGAGGCGGGGAGAGAAGAGGCGGGGAGAGAAGAGGCGGGGAGAGAAGAGGCGGGGAGAGAAGAGGCGGGGAGAGAAGAGGCGGGGAGAGAAGAGGCGGGGAGAGAAGAGGCGGGGAGAGAAGAGGCGGGGAGAGAAGAGGCGGGGAGAGAAGAGGCGGGGAGAGAAGAGGCGGGGAGAGAAGAGGCGGGGAGAGAAGAGGCGGGGAGAAAAGAGGCGGGGAGAGAAGAGGCGGGGAGAAAAGAGGCGGGGAGAGAAGAGGCGGGGAGAAAAGAGGCGGGGAGAGAAGAGGCGGGGAGAGAAGAGGCGGGGAGAGAAGAGGCGGGGAGAGAAGAGGCGGGGAGAGAAGAGGCGGGGAGAGAAGAGGCGGGGAGAGAAGAGGCGGGGAGAGAAGAGGCGGGGAGAGAAGAGGCGGGGAGAGAAGAGGCGGGGAGAGAAGAGGCGGGGAGAGAAGAGGCGGGGAGAAAAGAGGCGGGGAGAGAAGAGGCGGGGAGAAAAGAGGCGGGGAGAGAAGAGGCGGGGAGAAAAGAGGCGGGGAGAGAAGAGGCGGGGAGAGAAGAGGCGGGGAGAGAAGAGGCGGGGAGAGAAGAGGCGGGGAGAGAAGAGGCGGGGAGAGAAGAGGCGGGGAGAGAAGAGGCGGGGAGAGAAGAGGCGGGGAGAGAAGAGGCGGGGAGAGAAGAGGCGGGGAGAGAAGAGGCGGGGAGAGAAGAGGCGGGGAGAGAAGAGGCGGGGAGAGAAGAGGCGGGGAGAGAAGAGGCGGGGAGAGAAGAGGCGGGGAGAGAAGAGGCGGGGAGAGAAGAGGCGGGGAGAAAAGAGGCGGGGAGAGAAGAGGCGGGGAGAAAAGAGGCGGGGAGAGAAGAGGCGGGGAGAAAGAGGCGGGGAGAGAAGAGGCGGGGAGAGAAGAGGCGGGGAGAGAAGAGGCGGGGAGAAAAGAGGCGGGGAGAGAAGAGGCGGGGAGAGAAGAGGCGGGGAGAGAAGAGGCGGGGAGAGAAGAGGCGGGGAGAGAAGAGGCGGGGAGAAAAGAGGCGGGGAGAGAAGAGGCGGGGAGAAAAGAGGCGGGGAGAGAAGAGGCGGGGAGAAAAGAGGCGGGGAGAGAAGAGGCGGGGAGAAAAGAGGCGGGCACATGGATAGGAAGAGGAGAAGAGAGGCGGGCACATGGATAGGAAGAGGAGAAGAGAGGCGGGCACATGGATAGGAAGAGGAGAAGAGAGGCGGGCACATGGATAGGAAGAGGAGAAGAGAGGCGGGCACATGGATAGGAAGAGGAGAAGAGAGGCGGGCACATGGATAGGAAGAGGAGAAGAGAGGCGGGCACATGGATAGGAAGAGGAGAAGAGAGGCGGGCACATGGATAGGAAGAGGAGAAGAGAGGCGGGCACATGGATAGGAAGAGGAGAAGAGAGGCGGGCACATGGATAGGAAGAGGAGAAGAGAGGCGGGCACATGGATAGGAAGAGGAGAAGAGAGGCGGGCACATGGATAGGAAGAGGAGAAGAGAGGCGGGCACATGGATAGGAAGAGGAGAAGAGAGGCGGGCACATGGATAGGAAGAGGAGAAGAGAGGCGGGCACATGGATAGGAAGAGGAGAAGAGAGGCGGGCACATGGATAGGAAGAGGAGAAGAGAGGCGGGCACATGGATAGGAAGAGGAGAAGAGAGGCGGGCACATGGATAGGAAGAGGAGAAGAGAGGCGGGCACATGGATAGGAAGAGGAGAAGAGAGGCGGGCACATGGATAGGAAGAGGAGAAGAGAGGCGGGCACATGGATAGGAAGAGGAGAAGAGAGGCGGGCACATGGATAGGAAGAGGAGAAGAGAGGCGGGCACATGGATAGGAAGAGGAGAAGAGAGGCGGGCACATGGATAGGAAGAGGAGAAGAGAGGCGGGCACATGGATAGGAAGAGGAGAAGAGAGGCGGGCACATGGATAGGAAGAGGAGAAGAGAGGCGGGCACATGGATAGGAAGAGGAGAAGAGAGGCGGGCACATGGATAGGAAGAGGAGAAGAGAGGCGGGCACATGGATAGGAAGAGGAGAAGAGAGGCGGGCACATGGATAGGAAGAGGAGAAGAGAGGCGGGCACATGGATAGGAAGAGGAGAAGAGAGGCGGGCACATGGATAGGAAGAGGAGAAGAGAGGCGGGCACATGGATAGGAAGAGGAGAAGAGAGGCGGGCACATGGATAGGAAGAGGAGAAGAGAGGCGGGCACATGGATAGGAAGAGGAGAAGAGAGGCGGGCACATGGATAGGAAGAGGAGAAGAGAGGCGGGCACATGGATAGGAAGAGGAGAAGAGAGGCGGGCACATGGATAGGAAGAGGAGAAGAGAGGCGGGCACATGGATAGGAAGAGGAGAAGAGAGGCGGGCACATGGATAGGAAGAGGAGAAGAGAGGCGGGCACATGGATAGGAAGAGGAGAAGAGAGGCGGGCACATGGATAGGAAGAGGAGAAGAGAGGCGGGCACATGGATAGGAAGAGGAGAAGAGAGGCGGGCACATGGATAGGAAGAGGAGAAGAGAGGCGGGCACATGGATAGGAAGAGGAGAAGAGAGGCGGGCACATGGATAGGAAGAGGAGAAGAGAGGCGGGCACATGGATAGGAAGAGGAGAAGAGAGGCGGGCACATGGATAGGAAGAGGAGAAGAGAGGCGGGCACATGGATAGGAAGAGGAGAAGAGAGGCGGGCACATGGATAGGAAGAGGAGAAGAGAGGCGGGCACATGGATAGGAAGAGGAGAAGAGAGGCGGGCACATGGATAGGAAGAGGAGAAGAGAGGCGGGCACATGGATAGGAAGAGGAGAAGAGAGGCGGGCACATGGATAGGAAGAGGAGAAGAGAGGCGGGCACATGGATAGGAAGAGGAGAAGAGAGGCGGGCACATGGATAGGAAGAGGAGAAGAGAGGCGGGCACATGGATAGGAAGAGGAGAAGAGAGGCGGGCACATGGATAGGAAGAGGAGAAGAGAGGCGGGCACATGGATAGGAAGAGGAGAAGAGAGGCGGGCACATGGATAGGAAGAGGAGAAGAGAGGCGGGCACATGGATAGGAAGAGGAGAAGAGAGGCGGGCACATGGATAGGAAGAGGAGAAGAGAGGCGGGCACATGGATAGGAAGAGGAGAAGAGAGGCGGGCACATGGATAGGAAGAGGAGAAGAGAGGCGGGCACATGGATAGGAAGAGGAGAAGAGAGGCGGGCACATGGATAGGAAGAGGAGAAGAGAGGCGGGCACATGGATAGGAAGAGGAGAAGAGAGGCGGGCACATGGATAGGAAGAGGAGAAGAGAGGCGGGCACATGGATAGGAAGAGGAGAAGAGAGGCGGGCACATGGATAGGAAGAGGAGAAGAGAGGCGGGCACATGGATAGGAAGAGGAGAAGAGAGGCGGGCACATGGATAGGAAGAGGAGAAGAGAGGCGGGCACATGGATAGGAAGAGGAGAAGAGAGGCGGGCACATGGATAGGAAGAGGAGAAGAGAGGCGGGCACATGGATAGGAAGAGGAGAAGAGAGGCGGGCACATGGATAGGAAGAGGAGAAGAGAGGCGGGCACATGGATAGGAAGAGGAGAAGAGAGGCGGGCACATGGATAGGAAGAGGAGAAGAGAGGCGGGCACATGGATAGGAAGAGGAGAAGAGAGGCGGGCACATGGATAGGAAGAGGAGAAGAGAGGCGGGCACATGGATAGGAAGAGGAGAAGAGAGGCGGGCACATGGATAGGAAGAGGAGAAGAGAGGCGGGCACATGGATAGGAAGAGGAGAAGAGAGGCGGGCACATGGATAGGAAGAGGAGAAGAGAGGCGGGCACATGGATAGGAAGAGGAGAAGAGAGGCGGGCACATGGATAGGAAGAGGAGAAGAGAGGCGGGCACATGGATAGGAAGAGGAGAAGAGAGGCGGGCACATGGATAGGAAGAGGAGAAGAGAGGCGGGCACATGGATAGGAAGAGGAGAAGAGAGGCGGGCACATGGATAGGAAGAGGAGAAGAGAGGCGGGCACATGGATAGGAAGAGGAGAAGAGAGGCGGGCACATGGATAGGAAGAGGAGAAGAGAGGCGGGCACATGGATAGGAAGAGGAGAAGAGAGGCGGGCACATGGATAGGAAGAGGAGAAGAGAGGCGGGCACATGGATAGGAAGAGGAGAAGAGAGGCGGGCACATGGATAGGAAGAGGAGAAGAGAGGCGGGCACATGGATAGGAAGAGGAGAAGAGAGGCGGGCACATGGATAGGAAGAGGAGAAGAGAGGCGGGCACATGGATAGGAAGAGGAGAAGAGAGGCGGGCACATGGATAGGAAGAGGAGAAGAGAGGCGGGCACATGGATAGGAAGAGGAGAAGAGAGGCGGGCACATGGATAGGAAGAGGAGAAGAGAGGCGGGCACATGGATAGGAAGAGGAGAAGAGAGGCGGGCACATGGATAGGAAGAGGAGAAGAGAGGCGGGCACATGGATAGGAAGAGGAGAAGAGAGGCGGGCACATGGATAGGAAGAGGAGAAGAGAGGCGGGCACATGGATAGGAAGAGGAGAAGAGAGGCGGGCACATGGATAGGAAGAGGAGAAGAGAGGCGGGCACATGGATAGGAAGAGGAGAAGAGAGGCGGGCACATGGATAGGAAGAGGAGAAGAGAGGCGGGCACATGGATAGGAAGAGGAGAAGAGAGGCGGGCACATGGATAGGAAGAGGAGAAGAGAGGCGGGCACATGGATAGGAAGAGGAGAAGAGAGGCGGGCACATGGATAGGAAGAGGAGAAGAGAGGCGGGCACATGGATAGGAAGAGGAGAAGAGAGGCGGGCACATGGATAGGAAGAGGAGAAGAGAGGCGGGCACATGGATAGGAAGAGGAGAAGAGAGGCGGGCACATGGATAGGAAGAGGAGAAGAGAGGCGGGCACATGGATAGGAAGAGGAGAAGAGAGGCGGGCACATGGATAGGAAGAGGAGAAGAGAGGCGGGCACATGGATAGGAAGAGGAGAAGAGAGGCGGGCACATGGATAGGAAGAGGAGAAGAGAGGCGGGCACATGGATAGGAAGAGGAGAAGAGAGGCGGGCACATGGATAGGAAGAGGAGAAGAGAGGCGGGCACATGGATAGGAAGAGGAGAAGAGAGGCGGGCACATGGATAGGAAGAGGAGAAGAGAGGCGGGCACATGGATAGGAAGAGGAGAAGAGAGGCGGGCACATGGATAGGAAGAGGAGAAGAGAGGCGGGCACATGGATAGGAAGAGGAGAAGAGAGGCGGGCACATGGATAGGAAGAGGAGAAGAGAGGCGGGCACATGGATAGGAAGAGGAGAAGAGAGGCGGGCACATGGATAGGAAGAGGAGAAGAGAGGCGGGCACATGGATAGGAAGAGGAGAAGAGAGGCGGGCACATGGATAGGAAGAGGAGAAGAGAGGCGGGCACATGGATAGGAAGAGGAGAAGAGAGGCGGGCACATGGATAGGAAGAGGAGAAGAGAGGCGGGCACATGGATAGGAAGAGGAGAAGAGAGGCGGGCACATGGATAGGAAGAGGAGAAGAGAGGCGGGCACATGGATAGGAAGAGGAGAAGAGAGGCGGGCACATGGATAGGAAGAGGAGAAGAGAGGCGGGCACATGGATAGGAAGAGGAGAAGAGAGGCGGGCACATGGATAGGAAGAGGAGAAGAGAGGCGGGCACATGGATAGGAAGAGGAGAAGAGAGGCGGGCACATGGATAGGAAGAGGAGAAGAGAGGCGGGCACATGGATAGGAAGAGGAGAAGAGAGGCGGGCACATGGATAGGAAGAGGAGAAGAGAGGCGGGCACATGGATAGGAAGAGGAGAAGAGAGGCGGGCACATGGATAGGAAGAGGAGAAGAGAGGCGGGCACATGGATAGGAAGAGGAGAAGAGAGGCGGGCACATGGATAGGAAGAGGAGAAGAGAGGCGGGCACATGGATAGGAAGAGGAGAAGAGAGGCGGGCACATGGATAGGAAGAGGAGAAGAGAGGCAGGCACATGGATAGGAAGAGGAGAAGAGAGGCGGGCACATGGATAGGAAGAGGAGAAGAGAGGCGGGCACATGGATAGGAAGAGGAGAAGAGAGGCGGGCACATGGATAGGAAGAGGAGAAGAGAGGCGGGCACATGGATAGGAAGAGGAGAAGAGAGGCGGGCACATGGATAGGAAGAGGAGAAGAGAGGCGGGCACATGGATAGGAAGAGGAGAAGAGAGGCGGGCACATGGATAGGAAGAGGAGAAGAGAGGCGGGCACATGGATAGGAAGAGGAGAAGAGAGGCGGGCACATGGATAGGAAGAGGAGAAGAGAGGCGGGCACATGGATAGGAAGAGGAGAAGAGAGGCAGGCACATGGATAGGAAGAGGAGAAGAGGCATGAGTAGGAGGAAGAGGGGCGGGCAGCTGCCTACGGCCCAGTGGCAGGGAAAGGCGATGTGATACACGGATGGAGGTTTTGAGTCGACTCAAAACTCGACTGATCACACAATGGCGAGGAGAGGGTGGCAGGGAAAGGCGATGTGATACACGGAAGGAGGTATGCAAGGCGGAAGGGGGAGTGTAAGGGAGAAGGGGGAGTGGGAGGGGGAACGGGGGGTGCGAAGGGAAAGGGAGAGTGCGAGGGGGAAGGGGAACTGTGAGGGGGAAAGGGGAGTGTGAGGTGGAATGGGGAGTATGAAGGGGGAAAAAGAAGTGTGCAGGGGAAGGGAGAGTGTGAGGTGGCAAGGGGAGTGTGAAGGGGAATGGAGAGTGTGAGGGAGAAGGGGGAGTGTGCGGGCGAAGGGGGAGTATGAGGGGAAAGGGGAGTTTGGGGAAAAGGGAGGGGATGGGCTACAAGCTCGGTTAACAAGTGAGATTTTCTTTTTACTGTGAACGCGGAAAGCTGATGGCAAGCACAGCAAGGGCGGTTAACGGGAGGGGGGACGGATGGGGGAGGGGGGGGCTTGAGGGCGGGGGCGGTATGGCAGTCATTGGGAGGGAGGAGCGTCCATAGCTGTGGATTGCGGTGGAGTGGCGAGATGGGAGGTGGAGAGGCGAGATGGGAGGTGGAGAGGCGAGATGAGAACAGCTCAGTGGTGCAGGCGCCGATACCGCCGTCACTAACCCGTTTGTACTGCCCGCACTGCCGCACTGCACGGAAAGCAATACTGCTTACCAGTACTGCCCGCCCGGCTGTGCTGCATGTATGGCACCTCCCACCCACTGCCTGAACCGAGCGATTCAATCAATGCGCCGACCGGCAAAAGTGAGACCAAACGCGGAGCGCTGAGCGGCAGCGAAAACGGGACTCCGGGATGGGATGGGATGCGACGCCGGGGAGGAGGCGGGAGGGGCGGGGGAGGGGCAGGCGAGGAGGCGCTTGAACGCGTGGGGCGCGTGAGGTGCGCGAGGTGCGTGGGGCGCGTGAGGTGCGCGAGGCGTACCTCGGACTTGCCGCGGCTCATTGGCCGATCCACGATGTTCTGCAGCTGCTTCGGCCGCGACGCGCCTCCGATCATCATCTTGGCGGGCGCGAAAGACGACCGTTGCACGTGCCGACTACGGCAAGTGTGCCAGGCTAAGGACGCGGTGCGATGAAGCAGGGAGGAAGGCAGGGTAAGAACGACCCACGGATTCGTCTCTGATCGTTTGTTACACAGGGCTTCGAATTGTACGCGTTTCCAATTTTACTTCGCAGCAGGCTCCAACGCGTACAAAACTGTGCATGAGCTTGCCTCGTAACGGTCTGGTAACAGGCAAAGTAAGGATCCTATACTTCATACACTACTGTGCACCTGGCTTGTAATGGGAGAAGGTCGAGGGGGGAGACCTGAATGGGGGGAAAGTGTGTGTGCGTGCAATCGTCCTAACTGGTTCATTTGTGGGGAGTATGTACGGTTGTGGCTCAATCGGGATTCGTACGATCTTCAGAGGTTTATTATTCACAAGCCAGAATGGTTGGGTAGGGTTATGTGCAACGATGACTCTACAAAGCGTGGGCCAACAAAACTCAGGCATTGAACCTGACGTGAATCGAACACGCAACCTTCTGATCTGGAGTCAGACGCGCTACCATTGCGCCACAGATCCATGTCAGGAAGTAACAACGAAGCATTATTAATCTGTGCTAATACTTCAAGACGGATTCCACTACGGGCCTCCAACTGGTACATGGCAGCATCCCAATGTTGGCCGTCACAGTAAGTTTGCCTTGGGTGGAATCCTTTAATTGCTTATTCCATTGCACTTTTCACATGCGTTTACAGTTTTTCAAACACTCCCTAGCGAATGATGTTTGTCAGAATCACCCAAAATGAATTCCTGCACGATTAAAGATAGCTAGTAGATGCACAAAGTCATCTTCAGACAGCTTGGACGACCGCTTGTCCTCATACCCCTCCGCCTTCAACACATCCAACACCTTCTCCTTGAACTCAGGCAATGGCCCTCCCCTCCCCTTCCCTCCCTTCCCTCCCTTCCCTCCACTCCCCTCACCCTCCTCCTCCATCGCTTCCACACCATCTTCCTCCTCCCCGTCCTCCACCTCGCCTTCCTCCCAGTCATCATCTTTCATGAACAAATCAGCAGCACGTCCCTGCGCCACACCCTGCCCTGCCGCTGCCACCCCACCGGCAGCGTGCAACGCCTGGAAGGTGAGCATGTTTTCATGCAGCAGGTTCAGGACGTTCTTCTGGCGGAAGATGGCGCCTAGGGTTTTGTTCTTGCGCGAGAAGCAGAGGCGCAGCAGCCCGTCCCACTCCTGCAGGTTGATTGGCGGCAGCGGGTGCCGTGGTTCTATGCGCACCACGCTTGAGTCCACCTTGGGTGGCGGGCGGAAGTTATTGCGCCCCACCTGGTGCCGGGGGAGGGGTGAGACGGAGCAGTGAGGGGAAGTGGTGGGGATGGGAGGGAGAAAGTTGTGAGGGGTCAAGCTGGGAGAGGTAGCGCTCGTGGTGTGTGGGGAAGGCGAATGGACATTGTGTTGGGCCGATTGGAGCGAGCATAAGCGTGAGATGTGACGCGGAACGAGACGTGCATATGCTGTGGGGAGCATAACAAGGGCAGCCCACACACACACAGCAGGTACAATTTGTTACACACGCGCACGCACCCGCCCACACACCCATCCCCACACCCCCCCTCTTCCCCCACCACACACAGCATGCACACACGCGTGCGCGCACACACGCACACGCACACGCACGCACACAGACATGCACACGCACGCGCACACACACAAACACCACCACCGTGACGCCCCCATCACCACACCCACAAAACACATCCACACACCCGCTCATCCCACCCCTTCCCCCTCCACCCCTCCATACCCCCCACACATGGTGATGCTGCTGCCACGTGCCAAGCACCATGCCTTCTCACCTTGAGCAGATGGTGAATGCGCGCGAGCAGCTGCGAGTTGGCACTGAGGCGACAGTACAGGTTATCCCCCGGGCGAGCAAGCAGGCGCAGCGCAAACTCCTTTTGAAACATGATGATGGCGGCGCGGAAGAGCGGGCGGTGCGAGAGCAGCTTGAACACAATGGGCGAGGAGATCTGGTACGGGATGTTGGCCACGCAGATGTCAAAGTACGGTAGGTCCACCTTCAAGATGTCGCCCTGGATGATCTGCGGTGGGAAGATTTGGGGTGGTGGGGTGGTGAGGGGGTGTGGGGGGGGGGGGGGTGGGAGGGGAGGAGTTTTGCGGGTTGCCACAGGGGGAGATCTGAGAGGGGAGAGGCAGGGAAGTTGGCGACGCAGATGTCAAAGTGCGGTAGGTCCACCATCCCTTCAGGATGTCGCCCTGGATGATCTGCGGTGGGGAGGGTTGGGTGTGGCGACAAGGGTTGGGGTTGGGTGTTTGGAGGCTTGGGGGTGGGAGGTTGATGGATTGGGGGTGGCGGGATGAAGGATTGGGTGGGGACGTTGATAGGTTGGAGTTCAGGGTTCGGGGTTAAAGGTTTGCGGATTGAAAAGGGGGGAGAATCGTGGAAAAGAGGCAGGTTCGCCTTGAGGGTGTCTCCCTGGATGCTGTGTGAGGGAGACATAGGCTGGCGCTTGGGATTGACGCGTTGGGGTTGACAGTTGACGGGTGGAGAATGGGAAAGGATGGGAGCGGTGTGTGAAGAGAGGGAGGAAGAAGGTGTAGGGGGGGAAAAGAAGGGGGAGGGGGGGGAGGGGGGGGTAGTAGGGGACGGATGAGAGGAGAGGAGCGGAGTGGCAAGGGCAGGTGCATGCGAAGTGTGTCGACCAGGAGGATTAGCTGCTGGAAACAATGGGGGATTGAAGATAGGAGAGCCGTGAAGAGTGGGGTGGGATCAGCTGAGAGGAGAGCCGAGGAGAGGAGGGGAGAGGAGAGGAGAGGAGACGATAGAGGAGGAGGCGAGAATTGATGAGAGGATAGGGAGGAGATGGAAGAGGGAAGTCGAGGATCAGGAGCGGGAAAGGGGGGAGCGGGGAGGGGAGGAGAGGGGAGGGGAGGAGAGGAGGAGAGAAAAGGGGAGGTGCTGGTAGGGGAGGGGAGTAAGGGGCACATGCACGTACCGCCCACATGCACGTGCCCCCCACATGCACGTGCCCCCCACATGCACGTGCCCCCCACATGCACGTGCCCCCCACATGTAAGTGCCTCACACGTGCACGCGCGCGCCCACCTGCAGCTTGTTTTCGAGCGGCGTGCCCTGCACGCGGCGCGAGAGCTCCTGCACCATGCGCGGATCCAACTCCACCGCCACCACGCGCTTCCCCGCCTCCAGCAGCTTCACCGTCAGGTTGCCTGCGTGAGGGGGAACGGGGGAGAATGGGGGGCGGAAGGGGGGAGAATGGGGGGCGGAAGGGGGGAGAATGGGGGGCGGAAGGGGGGAGAATGGGGGGCGGAAGGGGGGAGAATGGGGGGCGGAAGGGGGGAGAACGGGGAGGAACTATTAAGGGGGGGACGAAGGGAAGAGACTACTTGGTGGGAAGATAGCGGAGACGTAGTAGTTATGTCCCTAAGAGAGAGAAACGTAATGAGCGCGACACACGCGGCGGTAAGCGGAAAGGATGGACGATGTAAGACACTCGTGAGTGCAGCTGCTTCCCGGGCTCAGGAATTTACACGAGACACGGCACACGGGAGAAGCGTGGGGGCAGCGAGGCAGAACGTTCACCGCCCCGCTTCTCCCCACAAAAGTCTAGTTTTAGGGCGCCTCAAAACGAGGCAGAACGTTCACCGCCCCGCTTCTCCCCACAAAAGTCTAGTTTTGAGGCGCCTCAAAACGAGGCAGAACGTTCACCGCCCCGCTTTCCCCCTCAAAAAGCTCCGTCTCGTTTCGTTCCGATACGAAACCTCAGCACACCTTCGCGCGCCGCACCGCACCGCGCATCCCAACAACAACTCGCCTCTACCTCACCCACGCTTTCAATAGCTAACTCAATTTTCCGCCTCGCTGCCGGCTTCAATTCTCAGCCGTTCCCGGGCCCATTTCGAGCACGGTGCGGAGTTCGACGCTCGCACACCCGTTCCGTTCCCACGTGACGGTACAAAACCCTCACCCGCTCTTTCAATCGCAGACGCACATTCGAGCGACACCGACACGTGTCATCGGCTTCGAGGCTCACCCGTTCCCGGTCCGATTTCGAGCACGGTATCGGTGGACTTGACGCCTGCTTTCTGCACGATTGACTGCACCACCATGGGGTTCTTCAGAATGACTTTTGAGTCGACTCAAAATAAGGCTCACCCGTTCCCGGTCCGATTTCGAGCACGGTGTCCGTCGACTTGACGCCTGCTTTTTGCACGATTGACTGCACCACCATGGGGTTCTTCAGAATGTGCTGCCCCTTGCTCTTCTGAAACTCGATTCCTTGGAATCTCCGCGACGCGCCGTCCTTGCCCTTTCGAGGAGCTTTCCCACCCGCCATTCGCGCTGCAGTGGCCAAGTCGAACGGTTCGGTGATTGGTTCGGTAGAAGCAGGCCCGGTGCTGCGCAGCGACGAGAGAAGATTGGGAGACGCGACGTGGAACGGGCGGCTGGCGAAAGAAAGTACAGATTCGCAGAGCGATTTTGCAAGCGATCGTTTGCGAAAGTTGGTGGCGAAGGTTGATGCGGATGGAGACTCGAATGCTCCTCGAATTAACTCGGACGGCAGGGCACGAGATGATGCTCCTCCAGGTACTAGCGCCGAGGCCCAAGGTGCAAGCGCAGGAAACGCAGCTAATGGGTGATGCTTTCTCGTGATTGCGCGATTTCTTGCTGCTCGTGCTGCTGTGGCTGCACTGGGAAGCATATCGCGGGTTTCAGGTTTGAGAGGGGTTTTGCCAAGGACTAGGGTTTGATGCTATGGGCAAGGGTTGCAATCTAAGGGGTGTTTACAACGTGAAACCGAGCTGACTACCTAAATTCACGCTCATGTCAATTCCAACCTAGTGAACAGAAAAATAACACAAACAGACGCTAATAGAAGCCCCCCCCTCCACCTCAAACAATTATATATATAAGGCGCCAAATACTGCACCATGTTATATTTTTTTTCAGACTAAAAAATCTATTTTCATTGTGATTGAGACATACAAACGCATGCAAAACCTCGGTAATAATATCGTAACATGCGTCTTGCGTTACCATAGTTACGGACTATCCCCCATTTTTTCAACATCCGTGCATCCATCATGTATGGGGCCCTATACCAGATAGCCCTGTGAAGAAATGAGGAAATGAATGGAAGGAAAGGGGTTTCACTAGCAAGCAGTTGAGTACATATAGTTAACCCTAAATTGGGCTGTACTCACTATTGAGTACCCCACTGCAGGCTAGACAAACATAACATTCTGACACACCCCCATAGCCAAAGTGGGGTGTAATCAGCACAACAAGCAAGCAAAACACAAGCTCAGGGTGGATCACAATGTCACCACACAATCTGAGCACAAGTACAAGAAGCAACAGTTTAAAGTTCACAAATGTAAGCAAAGCTAGAGGATATCACCGAGGGCAAGTGTGGAGGAGGAGGGACTATGAGAGGAGAGGAGGTAGTGGGCGGCAGCTGAAGCTGCTGGCACACGGCGCAACTGGAGCAACTGGCACACGGGCAACTGGAGCAACTGGCACACTGGCAACTGGAGCAACTGGCACACGTGCTACTGGAGTAACTGGCTCCGCGGCTAACTCTGAGCGGCAGGAGCAACGGACTCACGGGCGACTGGAGCAACTGGCTCACGGGCGACTGGCGCAACGGGCTCACGGGCGACTGGCGCAACGGTCTCACGGGCGACTGGAGCTGCGGGCTTCACGGCGGCCACCCCTCTTCAACCTCCCCAAACTATCCCACCCCCCTTTCACGCACCCCCTGCTGCACCCTAGGTTCACTCACACCCCACCCCCTAGCACCACTCCGTCGACTCCCACACACCCACCCCCCTCAGCGGCAGCTGCAGCAGTGGGAGACAGAGGAGGAGAAGGAGCAGGGGAGACCACACACCCGCCACCCCCTACTCGCCACCCCCAGACCCTAACACAGGGCAGGGCGGGACGGCGGGTAGGGAGGTTACGGGGGGGGGGCGACGCGCGGCCTCCCAGGGCGCCAAAACAGGCGGCAGAAGGGGCGACGCTCGCCCCCCCCCCCCAGGTCGCCTCGACAGGCGACGGGAAAAGAGGGGGGGGCGGTGCACGGGTCCCCGGTGCGCCGCGACAGGCGACGGAGCATGGCCGGGGCGGGGACGGGGCCGCTGGAGGCGGCGACGGGGCCGATAGGGGCGGCGACGGGGCCGATAGGGGCGGCGACGGGGCCGCTGGAGGCGGCGACGGGGCCGCTGGAGGCGGCGACGGGGCCGATAGGGGCGGCGACGGGGCCGCTAGGGGCGGCGACGGGGCCGTAGGAGGCGGCGACGGGGCCGATAGGGGCGGCGACGGGGCCGCGAAGGGCGGCGACGGGGCCGCTAGGGGCGGCGACGGGGCCGCGAAGAGGCCGCGAGGGGCCTCGAAGGGCGGCATGTCAAACTTATATGATCTAGCCTGTGTAGGCTGTAGCGGGTTAGATACTAAGGGGTACACAATTCTAGGGTTTCATATTTGTTCATTCCTTAGTCATTCCATCCTCGTTCTAATTTTCACATGTTATCAGAGCAGGTTCCCTAGTGGGAACGCTTCCTAGGGCCCACCACTAAAATTCGATAAAAAAAAATTCTGCCCGGAGCGCGAGTCGCCCCTGCCCGAGGCGCGCCCCGTGGGCCGCCCTCCCGTCGCGTCGCGCCCTCTTAGAGGCTCCTCTCACGGCCCCTCGCGTCCCCTTAGCGGCCCCGTCGCTGCCCTTAGCGGCCCCGTCGCCGCCCTTTGCGGCCCTCTTGCCACCCCTGCGGCCCCGTCGCCGCCCTCAGCGGCCCCGTAGCCGCCCGCAGCGGCCCCGTCGCCGCCCCTCGCGGCCCCGTCGCCGCCCATTGCGGCCCTCTTGCCGCCCTTGCGGCCCCGTCGCCGCCCTCAGCGGCCCCGTCGCCGTCCACAGCGGCCTCGTCGCCGCCCTTGCGGCCCCGTCGACGCCCGCAGCGGCCCCGTCGCCGCCCCTTACGGCCCCTCGTGGCCCCTTCGCGGCCCTGACGCCGACCGTTGCGGCCCCGTCGCCGCCCGCTGCGGCCCCGTCGCCGCCCTTCGCGGTCGTCCGCGGCCCCACTCGGCCCCTCGTGCCCCCCCCCCCCCCCCCCCCCCCCTCGTGGCCCCCCTCGTGGCCCCTTAGCAGCCCTGTTGCCGCCCTTCGCGGCCCCTCCCGGCCCCTTCCCGGCCCCAGCAGCAGCAGCGGCCACTTCTGCCGTGCAGCCGCCGCCGCTGCCAACTGCAGCCGCCGCCACTGCCGGCCACCGCTGCCGCCGTCGCCACCGCCGCTGCCGCCCCGGCCCTGCCGCTGCCGCAACAGCCGCCGTCGAGCCGCCGCCACTGCCGCTGTCGAGCCGCCGCCGCGGTCGAGCCGCCACCGTCGAGCCGCCTCTGTCGAGCCGCCGCCGCCGAGCCGCCGCCGCTGTCGAGCCGCCGCCGCCGAGCCGCCGCCGCTGTCGAGCCGCCGCCGTCGAGCCGCCGCCGCTGTCAAGCTGCCGCCGCCGTTGAGCCCCAGCCGCAGCTGGACTCTTCCCTTCTCGCCACTGGTGAGCACTGTTCTGCTGCTACTGCTCTTTCTCCTGTTCCTGCTGCTCCTGCTGCTACTGCTCTTTCTACTGTTACTGCTGCACCTGGCTTGACCAGATGCAGCTCCAGCGCCGTCCGCGTGAGTCTCTCACGCCCCAACAGCTTCGTGAGTGGTACGCTAGTTGGGTTGTCGGGGTAGCCGTGCTGTTACTTCTACTACTGCGGCTACTACTCCTACTGCTACTCCTGGCGGTGACCAGCTGCAGCTCCGGCGACGTCCGCGTCAGTCCCTCCCGCCAGCAGCTTCGTGAGTGGTACGCTAGGTGGGGTTGTCGGGGAGGCCGTAGTGGGAGTCGTTCTGGAGTGAGTAGTTCGGGAGCTTCTTGTCGTGCCCAGGTGGAGCCGCAGCGTCGTCCGCGCGAGACCCTTTCGCCCCAGCAGCTTCACGAGTGGTACGCGCAGAGTAGAGGGTCACTGAGTACTGCTCGCTGCCAGTACGTCATTCGCACGGGTGTCCGGATTGGTCAGCCTTGCGGGACTCCTGGTCACACAGAGTCCCGCTGCTTCGCCCGTTTGAGCGACGCTTGGCGTACAGTGTTTGGCGACGACGCTGAGCTCCCCTCCTGGCAGGAGCTACTTAGGCAGAGGGTAGACATCTTTACTCTAGACTATGATGCTCTTCTCACTGCAATGTATGCATTGTCTACTAGTGCTGAGGGTGTCTGTCACCTATGTGTGCCGCCTGACCCAGGTATCCAGTCTGCTGCTCTGGGTGCTGGTGAGGCTGCTGCTCTAGGTGCTCGTGCGTCTCCTGCTCCAGGTGTCGGTGAGGCTGCTACTCTAGGTGCTAGTGCGTCTCCTGCTCCAGGTGCTGGTGAGGCTGCTGCTCTAGGTGCTCGTGCATCTCCTGCTCCAGGTGCTGGTGCGGCTACTGCTCTAGGTGCTAGTGAGTCTCCTGCTCCAGGTGCTGTCGAGTCTGCTCTCTCTGGTGCTGCGCCTGCTGCGGTCGTACACACCTTCACCCTTGACTCGGGTGCTTCCCGCTCCTTCTTTCGAGACCGCACCACGCTTACGCCGCTTAGTCGGCCAGTGGCGGTCTCCCTGGCAGACCCCTCTGGGGGTCCTGTCCTTGCCCACTTCTCCACTGTCCTACCGTGTCCGGCGGCCCCTTCTGGCACCCTGTCGGGTCTTTACCTCCCCTCGTTCTCTACGAACTTGGTCAGTGGTGCTGACCTTCAGGATGGAGGGGTTCACCAGTTCACTCCTGCGAGTCAGCGAGTGACCCACTGTACCTGTGCTCGGACGGGCCGTCACTTGGCCACGTTTACCCGTCAGCCGGGGTCGAGCCTGTACACACTGACTACTGAGTCTCCTCCAGTCGCTGAGTCTGCTCAGGTAGCCGCGTCGGGTCAGGTGTGTGCTGCGGCGTCCAGGTCTGGTCCTGAGTCTGCCCCCTGCTCGTGTCGTCTCCTGTCTCACCAGACTCTCCTCTGGCACCACCGCCTTGGTCACCCCTCCCTGCCTCGTCTTCGAGGCATGGCCTCCCGTGTCCTTGTCTCTGGTCTCCCCCGGTCCCTCCCTCCCCTTCCTCCGGGGCCTGCCCCCACCTGCGTTCCCTGCGTCGAGGGACGGCAGCGCGCTGCTCCTCACTCCTCCGAGTTTCCTCCGACAGAGGCTCCGCTGCAGACGCTTCACATGGACGTGTGGGGCCCAGCCCGAGTCCGTGGACAAGGTCACGAGCGTTACTTCCTGCTGGTGGTTGACGACTACTCGCGTTACACCACAGTCTTCCCCTTGCGCAGCAAGGGTGAG